CCAGAGTTGCAGAAAAAAAATCCACTGGCTGCATGTACCATTTCCAGATATGGATCTGGCTGGTTACTCTTCTTTGTTGGCGCTGCTCTAACAATGCTCGTATTCATGTAATATTTTAATTCGTTAAAGGATATCTATATCGTTGATGTCTTATTGAATGTCACTTGTCTCGTATTACATATTAATCATGACCGTAGATGACAGAATCCTGATATTCGATTTTCTTCCATGTAGAACTTTGAATAGAATATCCATTGATGCTATACAAACATGAATACAAGTATACTTCTAACCTTGTAGATGTGTTCAACAACTAAAATTTTTTCATATTTTACTCTCAAGCTATGCTTTTAGTGTTCGTTGTAATTTGCTTAATACCATAAAAATAAATAATACGTTAATCATATTTTGAATATTTCACTTCATTCAAAGTTTCGAATTGAGATATAGAATAACATTTGCATACTCTTTCCTTAAGTCTTTTACAAAGAAGATCACTACAATTTTCTTACTTGTTTATGAATAATATATTCATTCAGGATTTCCTGTAGTTAGTCATCAGCTTATTTTTTCTGTTGGAGATATTTAATGAATGTTATCTATGCGACGGATACTACAATGAATATTTTATGGAGGGTGTGGGTGTGGGGTGTGGGTGTGGGTGCGAGTGTGGGTGTGTGGGTGTGGGTGTAGGTGTGGGTGTGGGTGGGTATGGGTGTGTTAGGAACATAGCAAAACCCAAACGCACGTGCATACCTGCATCCACACTCACACCCACAACCAAGATCAATGGCCGATTATTTTGTGATCAATCAACAATGTTGAATAAGACATGATACTATGCAGTGAAACAGCCTCTTTCTAATGGAGAAAACCGCAGCTCTCTATCTTATTCCCGTCAAAAGTTATTCGCAATTTAAGACTGGCTGGTAACTTTTGGACCACCGCGTACATGCTGTAAATAGATGTTTTTTTTATGCACCGTATTATCGTCGGACATCACTTGGGTGTGAAGGTGGGTGTGGGCTGTCAGGGTGGAGCGTACTTGAAAAGAAGACTCACACTCAAACGTATACACGCACATGTACAGACCTACACCGTCCCATAGCCAACGCCCAACTAAGAGAAATATCCACGAAGTATTGAGAACGCCATTTTTATGGGACATCCGTTATAACTGCTACGACAGAAAACGAATGTAGCCAACTTTTACGAGTTCGGATTCCGTTCGGACAGACTAAATTTTAAATAAACCGGTTGGAGATTAGTTCAGGTCGACTTCGCTCTCTGTTTCAAATCTCTAATCTCTAATCTCACCGGGGTGTGGTGTGAGTGTGAATGTCGTCTTCTATTCAACCACAGCCTAGAAACATTTAGTAGAAGGTTGTAAACAAAATTTAAAATAACAGCACATTAGAAGAGAAATAATTCTCCAAATATGCCACATTATAATTGCAAGTGTTTGTTTTTTAATTTGTGAATCAGAGCAACTTCTCAAACTCTGATTTAGAACAAAATTCATTCATTTGAAGTTTCAATCTAGAAAACCGTAATTTATTATTTGGTAATCATTTCAAATTGAAAACTTGAAGTCAATTGTTGAACTTTTCCATTTAAATGTTTGGGTAGTCAACTTTTTGAAATTCGAATTTAGATAGCGTATGTGTGTTTGAAGTGATAGTTGAAGACTTGAAATTAAAGTTTTCAAGTTTGACATATATCTATGAGATATTATTACTAGGATCAGAAGAAATTCGTATAAATTCTCTTCACACCAATCCTTCATAGCTTTTTCTTTCTAAGAAAATATAACTCATCTAAGTCTACAAACTTAGAAAGTTCTTACAGTGTGATTCCCTTGGCTAGTCAATTTTTCTCGCGGAAAACCTATTAGTAACCAATTTTAGAATAAAAAAAGTAGGTAAGTTGAAATATTTAAATATATTATTATGCTTAGTTTTCCATAGTCTTTCGGATGAGCGATTGTTCAAAAACATTTGATAAATCGATAAAAATTGGCACGCAAAACGCTACAATATGAAATATTTTTGTATGTGCCGGCCCTGTTGAGCCATGCATAACGTGTTCATGAAACGTTTCTCCAGAAGTGGCAATCTGATCTTTCAAAGAGCAATGAGATCCACCGTCTTAGATCTTGCTTTTGAACTTAATTCTTGTATAATTCGATGTCATTAGATCTTGTCTATAAAATTCTGAAAACCATAAAGTTGTATCTCTTTACAGTCAAAAGTTACTCTAAAAATACCCCTTTTTTCTATAGGGTTGGAAATAATATTTTGCGCGGGGGGTAACACAATAATTTCAAATAGGGTATGTAATGAATTTTATACCAAATGAAGGCCCGTCCAAACTGGGGTTTGTCAATGCTAAAATATTTGGGTTAGGAAAACTTTTGTATGTTGAACTGTCAAAATTTGTAGTATTTTACCGAATACAAGTATCAGAAAAATTATTCATGAGATAAACTTCGAACTAAATGTGATGCAAAATTGCTTATTTTTTTATCATTTTATAAATACAATCAATAATGAGTATGATGACCATTTGCGTTTTTTACCTCACAAAGTCAAGTTGAATATGAGCATAGAAAAGTTTCAAATAACTAGGTATCTGTTTTCGTGTTTGCTAAAACATTTGAAAGGTGCATTTTGAGCGTGTCTTTAAGATAACGATTATGTTCAGTTTCTGATAATACTTTTTTTCTCAACTTCATCTTTGATTATTGTTCCAATATGTTCTGCCACATTGAGATCGGGTGAATTTTCTGACCAGATATCATTACCCCAAAATCTAACATCGTTGTCTTGCAGAAAATGTTGCGTCTTGTATGCTCGCATACAGGGTGCTTTATCATGGACAAATACAACTTCATCTGGATCAATAACATTTTCTTTGTTCTTTAAGAAAGGAAATACATTTTGAGTCAAAATTGCATCACGAAAATATTGACTGGTCCAAGGTTCACCTTTGTCTTTGATCATCCAGAGTAGCTTCTTAGCAGTAAACATAATAAAAATCCCAATATATGGTTAATGTTTCACCATTTCACTAAACCCCTCCCCATATTAGAAGCCCCCGGGGGGCTTCTAATATGTCTATCATATGAAGCTTCTGGAGGGGGCTTCTATTAAGTCTCCAAAAAATTTCGTAAACTGCCAGGAAAAAGGGTTTGCAAGGGTTTTTAGCGACTTTCAAGGTTTTTATGAGTTTTCCAGAAGATTTTTGACATTATTTTCAGATGTTAGCTAAGCTTGATAAGAGTCAGCCAACTTTTTACCTGAAAATCGAAAAATTTTAGCAGTTTTAGCATGAAAATGCGAAAAAAAATCTTGAAAATTTTAAAATTTTTTCGAAAAATTAGGGGGGCTTCTAATACGTCAAACACGTTGTTCATCTCAGAGGGGGCTTTTAATAAGGGGAGGCTTCTAATATGGGAGGGGCTTCTATTATGGGGAGGGGTTTATATCTTTCATTGTCTTCAATGTCCTCGACACTTCTTACCCATATTCGACCATTCTGATAATTTGGTCTACGAACAACTCACACATAAAATTCATCAGATGATGCGAGATGATGAAAGTCCTCTTCGGTTCAATCTTTTAACCAATCGCACAGCCATAATCGATCCGATATATGAGTTTCGGATTTCAACGGTTTGGGAATAACATGGAATAGTTTTAATCCTTCTCTATGACGATAATTATTGATTGTTCTTGGAACGACGTACTCCTTTTGCTTTTCTGCAATTTCCTTCGCCACAACAGAACAACTTTTTCTTAGTCGGTCACTCGCTTGAAGAATGATGTCTTGACTTGCTTGTGATAATTTAAGTTTAGGATCAGCATTTGACTAATCAACAAAGCATTGGTCATATGATTGTTCCCACCAGTCTTTAACAAACGGAATCGAGCGATGGACTTTCTTCGCGACCCATTCTGTATTTATGAATGTTGTACCAGCATCGTGAGCTTCACGAAAGGCAATGCATTTGATTCTGTCAATTATTCTCTATTGTTCAGTATCATAAGTACCAGCCATTTTCAAGTAATCAAGTTTAATGGATTCACCAAAAGGATAAATTTGTTTTATGAAATCTATTGATCAGGATATGATCTTATATATTGTTTCACAAGCTATATAAACTTTTCTGTTCTATAACTTTCTAAGAGAAGAAAAATAAAAAAATCTTTTTTATGTACCGCTACCACGAGGAACAGATTGTAGAACGCAACAGGACAATCATATCTTCTGAAATAAAGATACATCCGATGATCATTAAAACAATACTCTTTCAAATTTATTCAAAGAAAATTCCTAGCGTTTTTTGATCTCACAAGTCACTAAGGTTGCATTATAACGATTGCATTCTACACTGTAAAAAAAATAGGTTTATTACGAAAGTTGTGCCCGCGTGAAGATCCATTAAGGTTTCGTATCGATTTACGAAACCTAAAAAGATTCAACAAATCATTTTCCGATGTTTTTTAGGTTCGGTAAATCGATGCGAAACCTTAATGGATCTTCGCGCGGGTACAGGTTTCGTAATAAACCGTTTTTTTTACAGCGTACAAACTTTTATAAAGTTCGAAAGGTTCAGCTACGAAAGTTCGAATAATCCCTATTTTTTGGCATGAATAAGTCCCATTTTCGACGAGCTTTCATTTGGTATAAAATTCATTATATACCCTATTTGAAATTATTGTGTTACCCCCCCCCCCCCCCCCCCGCGCAAAATATTATTTCCAACCCTGTAGAAATGTTAATAACACGGTGTCTTGGACATTTGGCAGTAAGTTGGAACATAGAAAAGACAATAGAAATGATTTTATGTTTTAAAGTAAAGTTTATTTATCATCTCCAAAACCTTCACTTTATTATGTGATGTAAAAAGAATAGATGATAGCTAGCTGCTATCGTATATGTTTTTATTGATTGCATATTAATGAACAATATGCATAGTCAAAATCTAATAAAAGTCTTTATGCAGGGGTCGGATATGTATCCACTTGTTGGCCAAACCATACACATGCATATCCTTTATAAACACCAACACCCATGGCTTTCATTGGTGTATTTTGAAAAGCACCTTGTTGAATCATAACAGCATTATGTCCTGGACTGTTTTTCCAACTATTAACAGCGTCTATTGCATTAACTGTCATTGTTTTTCTTACATTTTGTGCATAACCATATGAAATTTCGAAGCCATTAAATTTATAATTACTTATTTCAGATGGTTTACTCCACATTAAGTGTGCTTGTGCATGATCCGATGTATATCTAACAGGTTTCCATTTTCCTTTATTACTCCAGCTATGCATATTTCCACCATTAACATCTGGATCATTTTCAATAATATCAATAGCATGTGTACGAGCAACATAAGCAAGATTAATAGATGGTTGAAGCAATGGTAAACCATGTTGTTGACGATGATTGTTAATAAGTGTAAATATTTCTTGCTCTTTTGCGTCCATGCCATGAAATAAGGATTTTTGTTCTCCTTTAACTTTTAATTAGAAGAAAGAAAGTAACAAATGATACAACTAGTCTAAATCAGTTAATAGACTATTGGCCCTAGCATAGATGAACTATTTGTCGACAATACGTTAGGACTTTATAATAGTTATTATTCTGATGCTCTTAGTCTACGTACTATTGAACTAAGCAGCATGTGCATACTACTGTAAGATTTTCTAGGTTTTGATACATTATATATCGTTTCACTGATACTTGGTGGAAAGAGGAAACGTGGCTTCGAGGATGCTTTCATAAACTAACATCTTTTCTCTGTAGAATGAACAACCATTCCTATTTTCACCTACCCTGTTTCAGTCAGCACTGTCACAGTCTATCGCTGATACTATTGTGGTCATCATAATCATCGCAATCATTATCACGATCTCTAGCACCATGTTCATCGTAATCACAACTTCTATAAAAACTGTTATCGCGCTCAATGTCACATCTACCACTGTTGAGTTAATCTCATCTTCATCATCATCATTGGTAGCCCATAGTTCTTGCAAAGAGTAGTACTGAGTAAGTATGAGAAATGTGATCAAACTACAGAATTACACATCGTCCTTATTAAAATTATTATATTCCAAAGTAAAATCGCATTTATATTAATGTGTAACACGGAGAAAGCCAGACAAAAAAAGAAGACAAGGGATTTTTTTATACTAGGAGGGTCGTTATATTTTAGGCACTTTTTCAATTTATTCATGAACCGATGCTTAGATTGCAATACATTTGATTTTATATATTAATTTTACCTTTCATAGTGTTGGTTTCCAAATCAGATGAATATTCAACATTTTTGCAATTGATTATTGATGAACAATAAACAAAACAGAAAATTAACACAGTTACCAAATAATGCATCTTGCAATATTGTCGCTGTTAGAACTAGAAGTTGTCTTTCCAATGATCATGCAGACAACAAAAACGATACGTTTTTATAGACTTTCTTTAAAGATGTAGTTTCGAATTTCGATTCATAAATCCTCAATATTTAATTGAATGTATTTAATAACAAATAAGGATGAAACCAATATTTCTATTTTCATTATCGAACAATAGTCAAATTTCAAACAGAATATCAATTTTCACTTTTTTTATTTCTGAGAAGGTGCAGGTGTGCGCGTATATGTGAATGTATTCAAGAGTTAAGCTACTCCTACACGCCTTTACTAAGCTACGAGTCTCATCAGGCAACTTGGGCTCTATATCATAATTTCGACTTACGATCGAAAAAAAACAAAGATAAGCGTGAGTATAGGTTTTCTTTTCACTCACACTCGCATTCTTCTTTTTCTAATTCAAAAACTCACATTCAATTAATATTTATTGAAAATAATCATAAGATTTAAATCATTAATACAATCGCATAAAATGTTTGATTCATTCTACTTGAAACATGTTTACAATTATTTTTTGTTTTTAGATCGATCGAAAAAGCTTGTTAGCGCAGCCCCTTCGGGGCTGAAATGTGGAACTCACGTATATTCTTCAGCTTCATAATACTAATATGCAATGTAAATAGTATAAAATCACGAAGTTTTTAATTTTCTGACAGGCGCCCTTATTTTTCGTCTTCCTTATTGCTATTCGCTCAGTATTTTTCATTTTTAACCCTGCTTTTTTTCTTTAATTTTACATTTTTATTACAAGAAGTATTGAATTATATGCCGAATGAAGCTGTTATATATATATATATATATATATGTATATGTATATCCCTTATTTTAAATCTGGTCGCTAAGGTCTGTAATGGAGGCCTACATTACTATGGTCTGTAAGGGGGGTCTGTCTGAAATGTTCTCTTCCGTTGCTATGGTCTGTAGGGTGTGGGTGTGGGTATGGGTGTGGATGTGGGTGTGGTTGTGGGTGGGGTGGGGGCGTGGACGTGGGTGTCGGTGTGGATGTGCGGATGTGTGGAGAAATGTTCTCTACACGCACACCCCACTTGATACTAATGCATCTTTATTTGGTGGTGCTAAACTGTAAGGAGAACGATCACTGCCTTTTCTACCTGTTTGATCTATCATCAGCAGGTTCTTCTTTTTCACATACTGTAATATTCTTCGACATTTCGCCAATTGTTTCCAATAGGCATCAGTATCTAAATATGTATACAGACGAGTAAAAATTCAAGTAGTCTAGTATGCATGCATTTGAACTTCAATAAAAATATAGAGAAATGATATTAAAATAATATTTTCATTCCTTCGATTTCAAGACGTTGTTTAGTCTTTTCCCATCTTAAATTCCAGTCAGAATTACCACAGTAACGAATAGTGCGCAATGATATATTAAGAAGAGGTTTTTTTCTGAAGATTCTTATGTATATCAATGTATGAATTTTTTTTCTTTTTTCAATAGCTTTTAATACCGGACGTAATATATATCGATGACTGTCGTTCACCATTCGGTGTCTTTGTTTATATGATTTTTGTTGACCAACTAATGTTTCTTGTGTTCCATCTCATCGTTGATACCAATATCTAACCAGCATACCACCACCACGTATTTTCCATTTTTTAGCTAATGATTTAAAACCAAAACCACATTTATGTGATCGATATTCTTCTAGTACATATTTTCCTTGAATCATGACGTACATGTATCACATGTGGGCATTTTAAAGTGTTGTATGTAGTAATAGAAAACGTAAATGAAAAATATGATACGAAAAAAATAGTTGCAAGTGAAAATTTTTTTTGTGATGGAAGCGTATATTTGTTTAAATTTAACTAAAGAACATATATGAGTCATCTATATATAATTGATCTCCTAGCATATGTTCTATGCTACACATTTATGCGTTCTCTACTAAGTTATTATTTGTACATAAAATAAAAAGAAAAAAAAACGAAGGGCATAATTTCAATTTGCCTCGACTGTATATATGACCAAAGTTAGGATGTGGATATGAAGGGATGGGTGTAGAAAAAGAAAATATACCCCATACTCACAGACACACACATCCTCTAATAATGTTACTTTGTGATATTTTAAGAAACAACAAAAAATATTTTATTATTAGTACAATGATTTGGAACGGCAGTGACTTTCACATTTTCTCAAATACGAAATAAATTGTGCACGATGAGCTGGATGAACCATCATAGTGAATAGACATAAAGCAATACCCGACGGAAGTGCAGGACAAATTTCGCTGGGAGTGGATGTTAAAAGAGTGCCCCGTTCTGTACGATAATAAAAACGCTCTCCCATGTCGAATCCAAACAACTCTGGACCCATAAATGACACGTAACAAGAATCATCTGAATCTTTGTTGCATTTAATTGACAATTCTTCCATGTGATCAGTAAAATACGAAGATCCATACGCGCCTACACGTAGATTTAAAGTTGCTATTGATTGTGATCGTGGATGATATAATCCAATGAGGACAAGTTTAACGGAATAGTAATTTGATGTTTCATTCATATAAAAGTAATAAGAATGAGAGAAAATATAATTAATTTGAGAAACAATATCAGGATGAACGGATTGATTTTCATGTGTAAAATCTTCCCATAAGCGTAAGACGTCGTTTGCTGTGGTTTCACTCAATTGAATGGTGACATCAACTAACTGCTCGAAGTAAATTGACTCATTCTCAGTCTCGTTTTTCAACTTTATTAAAAACAACAGTTTCCAACTTGTTACTGTGTTAATATCTCCAGCATACTGTCCATAACGAGCTAAATACATGACTCGCCAAAATGATTGTTGATTTATAATTATATACCAATTTTTACACACAGATTTCATGGAATAAAAATCCAGTGGATCAGTGATATTTAGGAGAATCTTTTTTGTTACAAGCTCAGGTAACTGTTGAAATAAACGATAATTATGAATTTCGAACTGGATACATGAACGTGCCAATGGACGCTGTTGTTTGTATTTCTCGTTCAGAATATCTATCCAATTATCGATAACAAAATTAGCTAGCCATGGTGGACTCTTAGTGCAAATATGCTCTAATCCCATGAGAATATTACTATCAATAGACATGTTACTAGCTGCTTGATAAACACATACTATTTGTTCGTCTTTTGTGTACTGGAAAAATTTGTTTCGATTAATAACTATATCTTGTTTACTATCTTGAGGAGTCATAACGAACTCAGCTTTATCTGGCGAACGCTTACCATGTAATTTTTCATTATAACAAATAAATAAATCGCATAGCTCTTTATCACCTTTATCAACTGGATCGGTAATGGCGAGTAAATGTCGATAGTCTTTGGCTGTTTTTTCCCATTGATGTGGATAGTAGAGCATATATTTTTTTAATATTAACAAAAGCTTTTTCGAAGCGTAGAACAGCTGATCATGTTTTCCATACCATCGTACCATTGATTCATACCAACTGTTCAAGTTATTCAGTATATAGGTTGTGTATGATGTTGGCGATCGTGAAACGGCAAAATCAAATATTATATCGTTCTTAAGAGAACAATGGACATATAAATCTAATGTATCACCATTTAAAGTCGGAATGATCATTTCAATGCTGTTAATCATTTCATCATGTTTGCGTAGCCATTCTAATAAATATGTTGGGGAACTGATAATATCCCAATCTATATGTTTGTTGTTTTCATCTCGATAATTGGGCAAAAACTTAATAACAGCACGGGATCCAATTAATATTGCATTACGTGATTGAGTTACTGGAGGAATTTCCTGAAGAACAGATATTATTTCTAGCTTGTCATGTGTTCGACGAAGTTCCAGTTGTCTTAATGGTACTAACATAATGTTTTGTAGCTTACAGAGAATTGGTTTAACTGCAAAACAAAACGGTGAAACTGCTTCTATAGTCACTTCACTGAGCCATATTTATTTTATCACTCATTCAAAAAAAACCTGTACGTGCAATTTTGTTGGTATGCAATGTTCAAGACTTTGAATGTAATAGAGATGATAAACGCAATTATAAAAACATTCTGTTTTTCTTACTCTGACTAATGCATTGCATAAACTATTGTGAAAAAACCCTTTTCTTATCAAACGAGTGGTGGAGATAAAACAATCCGATAAAAATAGAACACCACCTGTGCATGTAGTAGTCCACCTATTTGGGCAGAGTCAGAAAAATGAGAAATTCATGATTTCATTATATAATTTTTACGTTATCAGAAGCATGACGCGAGACGTTTTCTTAATTATTCCTTCAAAGACGTTATCAGTTTTCTTATTCGAGCGAACTACAGTTAACGTTCTGAAAAAATAAACGCCGAAAAAAAATATCCTCATTTTCAAAAACGTTATTCCGTCACGAAAAACGTTATTCCATCACGATGGTTTTGTTAGCTGTGTGACGAAGCTATCATACATTTTGAATTATTATTTTTTCTATATATAGCTTGTCATCTAATTTATAACTGACCTATAGAAAACTTATTCGTCACATTTGTAGTTGAGTTAAAGTTTTCAGTTCTTTAGGCAACACTCAAACCATTTTAACATTTTTGATTGATTATTCTGTCACAGGCATATATTTTAATCATAAAAATGTAAAAGAAAGGCAAGATCTAATGAAAACTTTATCTTATGTAGGGCAACCTGGCTTATATTTGTGTTTGCAGAATATCAGCATGTGGCTATGGCTGTGGCTCTGACTGTGGATGCAGATATTGGTACTCTCGTACTTAAAACCGACACACACACCCCCACCCCAATCTTTTTTAATCTGATTTTTAGGCCATTTTTTTTACATGAGAAGTTTCAATAAGTCCATTGAACTATGAAAAATTATAAAAATATCAAAAAATAAGAGTAATTTTATTAGTGGTATATGATAAAAAGTCAGTTATTGAGGAAGATGAGCATTTAATCCTAGTACAATATATCGACTCAGTTTCAACTGTTCGCGCAATTTTGTCTGAATATTACTTGGCTTGCTGAGCGATATAGGAACCATGTTTTAATGATATCCAAGTCAATCAGTACACTGCGCTTTATACAATCACTGCAATTGTTGTGAATGGTATTGCTTTAGAAAGTGTTCAGAATGAAAATAAACTCTAATCAGAGATAAAATCGACTCTTCGAAGACTAATGTTACATGATTACGAAGATGCAAACTACATGGATACCTTATACACCTAGTAAATGCTTATCTTCCTTAATAGTTGACGTTTTGTGATATACCACTGATAAAATTACATTTTGTTTTTGCTTTTTTAGGTTTTTTTTCGTAGTTCAATGAAATAATTGGAACTTACGCTCTTTTTACATAGCCTAACTTTTTATATTCAACTAAGAAAGTTGTTTCCGATCTTGAAGAATAATTTGCACAAAGAAAATTACTATCATAAATGTATTTCGTTATATATAGGATGTAGATGAAGAGAAAACTCATACCGATACCCTCATCTCAGGAATGCAAATGTTGTTAGTGAAGTTTTGCTGTAGGACTCCATCTTTTCCGAAAAGCAATCTTTTCCAATATCATTCTGAAACTTTTCCACATAAAGATTTCAGTAAAACTAGCTTGTATGACAATTTCAAAATTTTTGAAGTCAGTTCTTTCGAGATATGGAACTGTTCTATTGAACAGTAAATGTTGTTTTTTATTTTTCGAAGATTCATTTCTCCGAAATATTTAGTCAGAAAATTATGGAATTTTTCCTTTAACAAGACTAATGGAGGTATTGATATAGACAGTATTTTAGATCAAAATTCGAAAAGATAGTCTTGCTGCAAATGAGGAGTCCTATTATCAAACTTCACTTAACACATTTCACTGTCTCAGAAATAGACCATAAAGACAAACTGCTTTTTAACGATAGTCATGGTTCACTAAGCTCTACAAGATGCAGTCAGTTCCAGACCGAAATCGAATAGACACATGTGAATGTTTACTCATCAGTTTCAACAGTTGTACCATTATCTATTAGGTTATTCTTCAAAATTTATTTGATAGATAAATTAAACGAAACATTAGACTAGAAAAAAATCTATTAGGAAGATTATTTACCACTTAATGATGTCTTTTAATTGCTTGGTTCGTTTTACTAGTAGCAGAGAGACGATTATGACTAGGACGTTAATTTTAGTCTTATATTGTGCGATAAACTTAAAGATAATATGTATATTTAAAAACGAAAGAACATGAAACCTTAATTTAAAACAAAAAAAGAAAAATAGATAATTTAATTTTTTTCACTGAATAAACAAATCGATAAGATTAAATACAGGAAAATGAAACATTTCTTTTTCAACAAACTATTTAATAAATGATGACTTTTGACATTATGTAATTATTAACTAAATATAACCTAACATAGTATCATCCAGGAATTTGACCAGTACGCGTGCGCATTCTTAACTTAAAATAATTTATTAGACTTCAAAGTCCAAAGAGCGTTATATATTCTTACAGTAAATGATGTGTTTTATCTAAATGCTCCGTATTTAATTTTTTTATTATTCTTTTCTTTAATTAGTTAGCACTCATTAGTATTTTCTTGTTGATTTTAATTATGTACTGATATTTGTATGAGAATAACTCCCTTCGATGGCGGAATTTGTTTACGTATTTAAAATTTATGCTTATGTTTGTCGATTGACGTACTTTCTTCCAACAAGAAG